GCGAGACTGACAACATACACAGAGGCGGCCATCGCGAGGAAAATCAAAGCTGCTTTGCGTCCGTTGGGTCAGAGAAGGCATGCATGGGACCGGCGGCGACGGGCGACGGAGGGGATGGTCAGGCGCGGCGTGGGAAGGTTCCTCGCGACTGCTCTGGTTTACTCGAGATTTACTCGGATAGCCGTTGCATCACCTAGTGATCTATTTTGCACTTAGAGAAAGCTTGAAGTAAACTTTTTTTACATCTATATTATCTGCGGAAGCATCGTTTTGGCCTTCATGCTGTGAAAGGCGGTTTTTTATAATATACATCATCTATTATCTATGGGAGATGCTCTTAACAAAGGCAGCGACAGGGCTAGATTAGCCGACATGTTTGGCTTACTATTACGCCAGAGATTGTTTTTATCCCTGAATTAATGAAAGTGTTTTCATTGCTATAAAAAGAACTAGTCCTAAAAATCCTCTCTCTATAGAAAAAAACTAGTAAAAAGCAGTCAATTCCTTTTTTCGCGAGAAAAAAAATCAATTCCTCACCAGGTAAAGTTTATGCGTGACAAGTACTACTATCAAACAGACTCTGTTAAATCAGTGTGATCTGAACGTCAAAAAATAAATAAAAAATCAGTGTGATCTCGGCGTTGCCGTTGGGCCGTGCGATTCGATTCGCGCCCATCCAATCTCAGGCAGGCCGGCCGGCCAGGTTTCCTCCTCCTCGGCGACTCCGCCGCGCGCCGGCGCACAAGTCCAGCCCTCGCGGACTCGGTTCCGCTCCAGCCAGAGTCGAGAGCACGGTTCCTGCAGCCATGGCGGTCTCCGCCCCGTTCTGCCACGCCGTCCCGCCCTTCACGGCCGCAGCCAGGGGCTCCTCCGCGCGCTCCCGAGGGGGAAGGCTGGGCCTCGTCGAAGGCTGCTGCTCCGGCCGTATCGCCGCCGCGGCGACCGACGCGGCCCCAGTCATCGGTGCCGCTCGCGTTGGCAGGAGGTACTCTCGAATCTCGACTCGCGAATTTTAATTGCTGCGATTATAGTTTTATTCAGAGGCCAAATCAGTCTCAGCTACGAAGAGATACGTCAGTGACTAGTAGTAATTTGAAGTAACTAAAGCTTATTCATCATGATGAATTTACAGGCTAGGTAGCTCCAAATAATTTGTGTAATCATAGGCTTGCCGTCTGCATTACCACCTGAACTGAAGCTGTGAGCACTGCTGTAGCATGTCAGCCTTTTTGTCGTGGCGAATGACATTCTTTGTATTCAACAGGTGTGAGCTCTTTGATCTCCATCGGCAGATAGTTCCTTATGTTGATTCGTGGGGTTGGCAGAAGTCCATTGTTGAGAGGAGGAAAGCGTTGGTAGGCATCGACACCGACACAGATGAAGATCACTCGGACACCTTAATCGCATTGCAACATCCACCAGTTTATACATTGGGCAACGGCAACGATGAGAAGTACCTCAATTTCAATATAGAAGATTCTCCTATTGAGATTCATCGTATTGATCGTGCTGGGCAGGTGACATATCATGGTCCTGGACAGGTATTTGCTAGTTATATTAGCTGTATTGTGGGTCTGAAACTGTATCCAATTTTATTTTCTGCTTCAAGGTAGTTAAATCTTAAGTAACCTAAGCTTCAAAGGGAAGTAAATAATGAACAAATAAGGTTTTCAATAACCTTTTTGGTTAGATCAACCTGTGAAAATTCTCAAATAAGAACAAACTTGCTGACTTTTGAAATATTGAACACAAAATCTCAGTTATTCATGTTTTTTTGTAGCTTAACACTATATTTTCTTACAGTCAATTCTTTTGCTTGCTTAGCTTGTTCTGTACCCGATTATCAATTTGCGGTATCAGAAGAAGGATCTTGTCTGGTACCAAAGGTCACTTGAAGATGTGATCATTCGTGCCCTTCAGTCTGCATTCTCTATTAAGGCATCAAGAATAGAAGGCCTCACCGGTGTCTGGGTTGGTATGTTACTGTCCTTTTGGATACTGCAAAGTGTTTTATCATGTTATCACGTATCTTTCTTAACTTGTACACTCTGTTTCCTCTCCAGGTGAGCAGAAAGTTGCAGCTATTGGAATTATGTGCACACGATGGATAGTATATCATGGTCTAGCGCTAAATGTCACAACTGACCTAACCCCTTTTCAACACATTGTTCCCTGCGGCATAAAGGGCCGCAGTGTTGGGAGCATCAAGCGGATATTACAGATGGCTTCCAACGGTAGAGAACTTAACGATGCAGAACTAATGGATACAGCTTATGAATCATTGATTAAAGAGTTTGCTGAGTTTTTCCAACTCTCTCTGGAACCTAGCCCTGATTTGCATCTTTAGCTAGATAAGACAATCAATCAACTGCAGAATGTTTTATTATACCATCAAAAGTGACCTCAGCGAAGAAGCCAGAAACAAATACAGAGCAGATAGCAGAGGCAAGCTTTTATTCAAAACTGCAGTCTCCTTCAGTCCAGTAGTTGCAAAACTAGTGATCCTTGTGCAAGAACTCAAGCTTTTCCTCCACCTGCAAGCACAGCCCGGGAAGCATTCTCAGTAAATCTGTCTTGCGATCCTGGACAGATGAAAAAGATTCAAGCAAAAGCACGTCACCTTCTTTGGTGTTCGAGGACGACCCTTCCGTGTCAACACCCGGCCACGCCTTGCAGGTGCAGTGCTTTCCTTTCTCGATGTCTTCGTAGACGGACGCGACATGCTTGCCGCACCCCTTCCAGGTGATCTTGCCGCATTTGTCGCACTCCACCTTGTAGCACATCCTGTATTCTTCTTCTTCTTCAGATGAATCGCTGAGCCCCTGTTGGCAAGTGCAGTGTGCTGTTCTGGGCTAGCTAGTGTGCCTCTTTCGCTCTCCATGGGTTCAGCATTTATAGGAACAACAAAAGTGTGGATAAGCTCTATGTGGCCCGGCGCGGTTGGTGGAGGAAACGAAGTCCGGATAAGTTGTGCGATTCTGTAGCTTGTAAAACTGTTGGGTATTCCCAATGCTGCGGCGAATATGATTCACTTGTAAAAGTATTGCTGGGTATTTCCAATGCTGCGGCGAATATGGTTCGGATGGGAACAACTCTGTCTGTGCTCTTGTGCTGATCTTGTTGCGATGATGATCAAACCAAAGTTTGTGCTCTTGTGGCAATCTTGTCGCGTTGGTCAAACCTAAGTTGCTGATTTCTATGGTGCTGTTTCCCCTTCGAACCTGTGAGTTGTTCTTGTGCTGGTAATACATGTGTGCGACTGTACAGGTACAACAATCTTCACCATGGAAAACTTCACCCCCAAAAATTGTTTTTAAGTTACATTTTCATCTATGTTGGGTGCACGTGGGATATAACTTGACTATGGAAAGCGTGGCATGGAGCCGTTGGTCGATTGCGAGCTCCGGTCGCTGACCCAAACCTCCTGCACCGACACCGGCGACCGGGCTTTCTTTGCCGTGGTGGTGTCTGGTCCATTGAGTCCCACGTCGGCGACGAGGTCCGTCATGCCGGAGTCTGGGGCGGCGTCCCTGATCCGGCACAGCTCGGCGGCCACCTCGCTCATGGACGGCCGGACGTCCTTGTCGAACGCCAGGCACTGGAAGGCGAGCTCGCTGACGTGCCGGACCGACTCCATGACCCACTCCTCGCCGTGGCGGAGGAGCGCCGGGTCGACGATCTCCTCGACTCTCCCCTTGCCGATCCGGTCGAGCGCGAGGCATGCCAGGTTGACCTCGTTGGCCGGCCGGGCGAAGTCGACGACCTTCATGGCGGTGATGAGCTCGAGCAGCACGACGCCGAAGCTGTAGACGTCGCTCTTGTCGGAGAGGTGGAAGCTCTGGTGGTACTCCGGGTCGACGTACCCCGGCGTGCCCTGCGGCGCGGTGGAGACGTGCGAGCGCGACGCGTCCTCGGCGCCCCGGGCGGCGCGGGAGAGGCCGAAGTCGGCGAGCTTGGCGCGGAGGTCAGCGCCGAGGAGGATGTTGCCGGACTTGACGTCGCGGTGGAAGATGGGCGGGCGCGCGGCGTGCAGGTACGCGATGGCGGCCGCCGTGCCCGCCGCGACGCCGAGCCGCGCGCGCCACGGCAGCGTGGAGTCGCCGTCGCCGTTGCCGTGGAGGTGGTGGGAGAGGGTGCCGTTGGGCACGAGCTCGTAGACGAGGATCTGCTCGCCGCGGTCGAGGCAGCAGCCGAGGAGGCGGACCAGGTTGGGGTGGCTGAGCGAGGAGATGAGCCTGATCTCGTTGAGGAGCAGCGCCACCGCCCTGCCGCCGCCGTCGTCGTGGTCGTCGAGGCGGCACCGGAGGCGCTTGATGGCCACGAGCGCCGTCGAGTTCGCCGGGAGCCGGCCGACGTAGACCGTGCCGTAGGCGCCCGTGCCGAGGCGGTGCGTGTCGGAGAAGGAGTTGGTCGCGCGCGCCACCTCGTTGTATGAGTACACCGGCACGCCGCTCGACGTCGCCGCCTCCGACAGCAGCCGCATCGCCGCGAGCCGGCTTGAGCCCTGCCGCCCCTTGCCGACAGAGCGCCGGCGTCGTGCCCCGCATAGCAGCAGGAGCACGCCGGCCGCCGCCGCCACGCCCACCACCACACCTGCTGTTCACATACATCGTCAGCGACAGCCCAAGTTACTGAAGTTAGTATCTTAATTTTATTCAGAAATGCACTTCTCTAGTTGTGAATGAGATTCTTGTCTTGGTCAAGCTAAGCAGTAGAATTCTTCGAACCAAATTCAACATTTCCTTTCCCATTTCCCCTTTCAGCTTTTCTAACTGTTTCTAGTTAGCCAGGTCAGCAGTCAAGCATGCAGGGAGGCGTTTCCACAGATGGAACCAACGGCCTTGACCAGACGCGTCTTGACCCAACGCTCTTACACGGCGCCGTGTACGTAGTTAGTCAGGTCAGGAAACATTTTTACCTGCAGCGATGAAAGCCACGTTCTTCTTGAAACCCCGCTTAGCTGCACAGGAAAAACAAAAAGCGTTGCATCAGTATGTAGCTATCATCATTTATATTCTGGGCCAGAAGAGTTCGGATCCAGCCATTTTTTGCCTTAGGAGATTCCTGTTTGTCATAATCATGTCAACATCTTTGAAAGTCTCTTGTTCAAAGCTCTGCACAAAGTCTACACATGTGAAATCAGAGAGATGGCGGGCCCAGGTACTCCATTATGTCTACTTTTGTGACACTAAATTGCTATTGTTGGATTTCATTTTTTTTGCAATTTTGTTACTGTAACCACTGACAAAATATCCCACAGTCAAAATACACCTTGTATATCCCGACAGTGCTAGTGCTAACGTTTTCCTGAGTCTTCAAATATCAAATTTCCCCCCGAATTAACTCCTAGTAGTATTAATGTTGTCTAGACAAAAGTTATATTGTACTCCATCTGTTCCAAAATACTTGAAATTTTAGGTTTATTCTAAGTCAAAAAATTGAAGTTTAACCAATTTTATGAAAAAAAATATACCAGCATCTACAACACTAAATTAGCTTCAACCTAACGTATATTTTCATTTATTTTATGTTGTAGATTTTTTTATTATAAGGTTATTTCGACAACTCAAGAATTTTTTTTGGTTATGATCCAAAGAGTGAAAAGAAAGGTTGAATAAGACATGAGAAAAAAGAGTAAAACCATACTTTCTATTTGCATAACGTCAGGACAAAACTAAAGCTTAAACTATTTTGAAACGGAGGGAGTACACAAGTATAA